AGCAATCTAACATTAAGTTCTAATTGTTTTAAATTGATATAGATCTCTTCCTTATTTCTAACATCTATTTCTATTTTATATATATATATAATATTAAATCACAAAATTTAATTATCACAACTCTCTTTTCTTTTCCTTATAATAATCAATTTTCTTTTGCATTCCCTAGTAATAATCAGATTGCAGACTTTCTCCTTAAATTGCCATATCAATGTAAAATTATTATAAATGAATAATACTCTATTCATACATATTAATCATTTACCTAAATTAATTATTCTCTACACATTTCTCCTTCTTCAATCAGACCTTATAATTCCTAATTTGAAGTTATCTTCTCATCAAATTTATCATAGGTGCAATTAAATTCTAAAGTTTTGCTATCTATTTCAGCTAACTATTTTAGGTGCTTATAAATTTTATGCGACTATTCAATTGACTAATCATTTATATACATTCATGTTTATACTTATACTGTTGAAATATTGTGTTATAATACTTTGTTAGCTGCTGCATCAGTCTAATTCAAAGCATTAAAGGTTTCCTGTTATTGTTTTAGTTGATCATACTTAGGCTATAAGATAGATCTTAGCTTTTAAACAAATACTGGATGAAATATTTAATCTTTTTCCCATCTTTTTATTATTGTATGAGCTTTCTCTAAATCTTTAATGTCATCTACTATACAAAAATCCCCTAATAATCTTTTTATTTTTCCACCAATTGCTTTGAGAAATGGATTATCTTATATTTTTAATTGACTTTCATCTTAAATAATTTGATGGATCAAAAATAAATATATTCTTTTCTTATCTTTTCTTGTCTAAATAAATTCATTTTCAATCATTGTTGCAATTTATTATGCACTTTCTGGATATGCTGAACAATAATTAGCAGTTTCTTTAAGTAAACAACTTTTATACTTATAATTGAATCTCTAGCTTCTGTTAATTATTGAAGGAGACCTTCAAAATAGTTCAAGTCCATTAGATAATTAATTATTTTATAATAACTAAATTTTAAGTATAAAGAAACTAATCACTCTTAGTGTTTATTCAAAGTTTCTAAGGCACTTTTAATATGCTTTTATAAAGAATCTATTTATGTCTTTTGGAGTGCAAATGCTTGAATATAATAAAAAATGATACTTTTAGCAAAATTCTTTACTACTTAATGTAAATCATCATTTTTCCTAACACCTAATCTTCCTATTTTATTTTTGGATATACGAACATCTAAAAATAATATTGGTTCTTCATTTTCTTCTCTTTCAGATAATTTAAATTCTTTAATCTCTTTATTATTATTGACTTTTTCTAATTATTATTATTTATTTTCAAAGTATTTATCTTTGTATTCTTTTTAATTTTAAGCTTTCTACATTCTTTTAATAGTATTTTCAAATCCTTTAATTTAATCAACTTTTTAATCACTTTTAATTAATGAACTTTTAATTTCAGGCTTAAATGTGCATTCTTTATCTAAAACATCATCTTTATTAATAATTTATTATTATTATTTATTTTGTAATGCTTTAGAATCATTGAATAATCTTTAAAAAACTTGATCTCCTGAAGTTTTCTTAAGATTCTTTTAAAATGATAACATCTCATCATTTTCTTATTTAATTTTGAGTAATTAACCATGACGAGCTTTTTCTTAAAGTTATTTAGAATGATTATAAAGTATTTCACTTCTTTAAATACCTTTAGAAGAAGATGCAGAAGGTTTAGTAGGTGTATATGATTTGTAAGCTTACAATTTGGCAAAACTATCAAACTATTTTTCTTTTATTTTAGCTTCTTTTAAGATAAATGCAGAATGAGGATTATTTATAATTTAAGTTCTAAGCATTCTAATAACTTTTTCAAATTAAGGTAATTTATTTTCAAATAATAATCTATCTAAATGTGCTAATGATCTATAATTGATAACTTTTTCTAAATCTTAAATTATTGAATCATCGAATTTCTCAACACATGAAAATATTTATCCTAAAATTTTAGCCATTCTATCATATGGAATAACTTACTATGAGAACCAAGTATCTTCATTCTTTATAGAATAATATGAATAAAAAACTTACATATGCCAACATTAAACAGAAATTCCAAAAGTTAGAATCTACAAATATGTATAATTAATTCATCATCTAATTTAGATCCTATTCTTAATAAGGTTTCACATCTACCAAGGACGAGAATATCTCTTAATCAACTATAATGTCATATTCTATTTATTCTGAAAATTGTATAATTTGATTATACCTTTGATTAGAATGAAAGAATTCTATATTTAATGTTTAGTGTATTTACATTATTCTCATTTCTCTTTCTATCTGAGAATTAAGGTGTATCTGGACGTTCTATTACTTCTTTCAAATATTATTTCTTGCCACTTTCAAAATCATTTATCAGATTGATTTTCTTTTTTATTAGCTATTCATAATTGTTATTCTGTTACATATTAATAATTATGATTAATGATGATAAAATCTAAAGAATTTTACAAATGAATGACTTCTAACGTTCCTCAGACATACGTAAAATCTCACAATCTCAAATAACAGAAAATACAAATAAAAGTTATTCTATCACTATTACTAATCAATCTAAACCTAAAAGAAGAAAAGTTATTAAATTAAAGAATCATCTATTATAATCAAATGTAAGTCCTGATATTTAAAAATTATATTATTAAACAAAAAAGAATGAAGAATCTAATTTAAATAATGAATAATAAAACAAATCCATTAATTTACCTTCAATATCTGATTAATCATCTAAAACTAATTTGAATGATTTATTATCAATTGTCTTAGAAATATTCCCTCCTGATCATTAATTATGGACAGATCTCTAAATTAAAGATTAAAATCTAGAAGAAATTATCATACAAAACTAAAATTATTTTTCTGATCNTTAATTTTGAGTAATTAACCATGACGAGCTTTTTCTTAAAGTTATTTAGAATGATTATAAAGTATTTCACTTCTTTAAATACCTTTAGAAGAAGATGCAGAAGGTTTAGTAGGTGTATATGATTTGTAAGCTTACAATTTGGCAAAACTATCAAACTATTTTTCTTTTATTTTAGCTTCTTTTAAGATAAATGCAGAATGAGGATTATTTATAATTTAAGTTCTAAGCATTCTAATAACTTTTTCAAATTAAGGTAATTTATTTTCAAATAATAATCTATCTAAATGTGCTAATGATCTATAATTGATAACTTTTTCTAAATCTTAAATTATTGAATCATCGAATTTCTCAACACATGAAAATATTTATCCTAAAATTTTAGCCATTCTATCATATGGAATAACTTACTATGAGAACCAAGTATCTTCATTCTTTATAGAATAATATGAATAAAAAACTTACATATGCCAACATTAAACAGAAATTCCAAAAGTTAGAATCTACAAATATGTATAATTAATTCATCATCTAATTTAGATCCTATTCTTAATAAGGTTTCACATCTACCAAGGACGAGAATATCTCTTAATCAACTATAATGTCATATTCTATTTATTCTGAAAATTGTATAATTTGATTATACCTTTGATTAGAATGAAAGAATTCTATATTTAATGTTTAGTGTATTTACATTATTCTCATTTCTCTTTCTATCTGAGAATTAAGGTGTATCTGGACGTTCTATTACTTCTTTCAAATATTATTTCTTGCCACTTTCAAAATCATTTATCAGATTGATTTTCTTTTTTATTAGCTATTCATAATTGTTATTCTGTTACATATTAATAATTATGATTAATGATGATAAAATCTAAAGAATTTTACAAATGAATGACTTCTAACGTTCCTCAGACATACGTAAAATCTCACAATCTCAAATAACAGAAAATACAAATAAAAGTTATTCTATCACTATTACTAATCAATCTAAACCTAAAAGAAGAAAAGTTATTAAATTAAAGAATCATCTATTATAATCAAATGTAAGTCCTGATATTTAAAAATTATATTATTAAACAAAAAAGAATGAAGAATCTAATTTAAATAATGAATAATAAAACAAATCCATTAATTTACCTTCAATATCTGATTAATCATCTAAAACTAATTTGAATGATTTATTATCAATTGTCTTAGAAATATTCCCTCCTGATCATTAATTATGGACAGATCTCTAAATTAAAGATTAAAATCTAGAAGAAATTATCATACAAAACTAAAATTATTTTTCTGATCTTATAAGTAATTTAAATCCAACTTATTTATAGTCCTTTACATTTAAGAAATGGAAATTCGTTAACTTAAAGAAAAGAAACAAGGATAAAAAGGCAAATACACAACATAATATAATGAAGATTATAGCGATAAAATTAATAAAGATAATATATCAATAAATAGATGGATTTATGATAGAATCAAATAATCAGATATATTTCTATAAAACATTAGTACTTACAATGTAAAATCTATAGAATTTATTAACAGCAACATTATATTCCAAAACGTCATGATAAAATTTCCAATTTCAAACCTGATCATAAACCAAATTTAAATGAAATTTCTTGTCTATCATCCTATGCTGTCAATTATAGAGATTGGAAGAAATAATATCATGGTTTAATTGGACCAATCAATGTTTCTACTGAAAAGAAATTACCTTTTATTGCTGAAACTAATTACACCAAAAATTACATTACTTAAAAATATGAAAAATAAGATCCCATCATTCCTAAATAATTGTAATATTAATCTTATTAATTCTAGAGGACCATTTCCAACTGAACCTAAAACTTTGATTCGAGATACCACTCATAAATCTTAATTCTGTCTACCTCAATAAGATAATTCATAATCTTAACAATTTTTTCATAGTCAAAGAACTAATCATATTAAAAGTTTTGATGGATATTAACCACATTATAATAAATAATCTACTGTTTCTAATCAAGATCCTGGCTTTGCTGATCGTTTCTATTAATCCTAAATTGTTTAACAATTAATCAAGAACAAATAGCTATTCAAAAAAAACTGATATCATTTAAAGTATAATTTTATCACATATAATTAACTATTATTAAACAAATTTAATTATTATAATGCAATTTTCTGTATATACAACTTTATCTCATTCCCTTCATCCATATTAAAACAGTTTGACTGCCACAATTTTAAAATTGATATTTAATTTCTATAATAAATTATTATCAATATATCACTTAAACCTTAGCATTTTAAAAATAATGTTAGAATTTAACAATCTAAATATAGCATATAGAATGACAAGCAGACATTTTGACCCAAAAACAAAAAAGTATTTATTTAATTATGGATATTATGTTACTAACTAATAAATTATTAATTTAAATAATTTAGTTTCATATTTGAGAGTATCTTGACTTAATTAATAATTATCAGTGATAGGTCGATGAGTGTTAGCTTATTAAAGATAGGTTTAAATTTTATTAAGTTTTGAATCAGGAATCTTGTTTTATATTTTGGAATTATTAAGAAGATTACCTTGACTTCCTGAACGTATAAATTTTGGGAATCTGTGATTTTTTTTGAATGCTCTTATTTATAAGTGTTTCGAATAAGACTTATTAGGATAGAGTACTTTTGTCATTACATTTGCTACAGATATCGAAATTCCCTAAGTAGAGACTGAAATTACTTTAATTTCTATAAGCTTTTGATCCAATAATAGTATCTCTTTTGGATATGTAATTCTTATAGATTTGATTTTATGTTTTCTTCAATTTTTCAATGATTTCATTTTAATATTGATTAGAATCTCTAGATTTTTAAGATTATGATTTTTGTATTTAAGTTTTATGTATCAGTAAATCTTTAACATTAATTTAGATTTATGATTATTTATGATGAGTAATAAATTTAGAGATTTATATTTAATTATTATCTTAAATTGGTGTTTGATGATCTGTAATTTGATTTTCTATCTTTTTATATCTGATATAAGTACTTTCCTCTTATTTTGTAACTAAGGATTCTAAAACTGTTTTGATTTTGTTTATGATTTTCAATAGAATATGTTTATAAGATCTTAGAAATACGATCTGATTTGATATTTGATCTATTAGTTAGTAATTAATTATGCATTTTATATTAATGTCATATAAATAAATCTGATTTCTTATACACATATACACTACAGTTATTTTTTGTCAGGAATTTGAGAATGGACTTGAATAAAGTCATTGATGTTTCAAGTTGTTATTATGAGAATACTAATTTTTAAATAATATCCCATAAAAATCGAAAGACCTCTTCTTTAATAATTAGTTTATTAGTTTCAAGTGCTTCTTCTTAAGATGAGGTATATTGATTGTATCGAATAACTTTTTGGCTTAATTAAATTTATGTTTTTTCTTTTTTAATAATCTTAGGTTTAAGACATATCCACTAAATCAAATCATATGTTAGTTCTGGAATTGGTTATATAAATTATGTTAGTTATTAATAATTTTATCTAATGATTTAGACTTGACTCCATAATTTAAATATTTCAATTAATTCTGTAAGTGATATTTTGGAAATGTTAGACTTATTTGCTCGCTTAAGATTCTTTAATAATTCATCATCAAACTTAAAATATTTAAATATATATACATACTTCTATTGTATCAATAGTCTTCTGTATTTATTCACAATATTTCAGTATCAGTAGTGTCTTTGGCTATCCAATCGTTAATTATTCTTCAATAAAGGAATAGAATTATGGATGAATTTAATCACTTAGAAAGAAAAAGGTTTATCTATCTCCATAAGCAGATTATTATAATAATTTCTTTCTTTCATTCATATGTTAATGAAATTTAGTTAAAAATCTAGCTCTAGCTTTTTATTCCTTCTCTCTAAAATATGTATAACTTTATTAATATTCAACAAAAACAGCATCTTTCATTCTTTTTAATCTACTCAATTCTTTATATCCATAAAAATCAAGCTTTTTTAATGCATTCTATTATTATTATTAAGTATTCTCCATTTTATTTATCGTTTATGATTATGAATATGATTAATTCAATTACTATGATTATTATTATTATTATTATTATTATTATTATTATTACTATTAAGATTATTATTATTATTAAGATTATTATTATTATTATTATTAAGCAATTGGTTATAATTATAAATATGGTTAAGATGCTTATTTTCTAACTGGTTAAACCATAGGTATTGGTGGTTTAACTTTACTTTAATCTTCAATTAAAATTGAATTCTTTTCATGTATTGATTTAACTGGAGATTATTTTATCAATCTACTTTAATCTTTAAATGATTTAGTAGATTCTCTTTATTATATTGGAAACTTTGGTTATACTTATGTAACTTTAGGTGTCACTTCCTATTTATATAATGATCCAGATCGTTTATGCATTGATACTTTTGAAGGAGATAATTTTTTTTAACTTACTTTACGTGATAGTATTTACTTTTTACTACTCGATTATTTTAATTATTCTAATTTCCTTTTTGGTTATTCAAAATCTTGTTTTTCTTATTTCTTAGGTTCAATCTATGTTTTGTTAGGATCAGATAAAAATTATTCTGCTGTTTATAAAATCTTATCAATATCATTATTTATATCAGGAAGTGTAGATGGAAGTGATGATTTATGTTATAAATATTTCATCTCTAATGGTCTTTTGTGTGAATTCGTTTTATTTGTTATTGTTTCCATCTACAAAATTTATTATTACAATTCCTTTATTGTATGATCCAAATGTTGACAATAATCTATTAATGAAGGTATTATTTCTGAAAACATTTAATAATTAATTATTTATCAAAAATAACACTTTTACACTATCAGGTTATTATAATACTCAAACATATCAATTACTACTTATCTAAGATTTATTGTCATTTTTTAGCCAACAATAACTATATAAATAAACTATAATACAAATTGTTTAGAAGAAGTATATTTTAAATATCAATTTACTAACTGTTTAATTTAAATTAAATATGAGATCATGTCTACATATAAAAATAATCAAACTTATAATCTTAAATTTTAGCACTTTCAATCTCCTTCATATATTCATACAATAAACCTATTTATAAATATTTCATAAAAAATCTTACATTACAATCAATATCTTTAAAATAATTACTGGAATTAACTCAGTTATTTTTATATGTCCCTAAAATATTGCGATTCCAAAAAATATAAGTATATCATAATCCAATAATCCAAATATATATCTTTAATTTATACGTACATATCAAATCTATACTCAAAAATATATATTTTCTATCTTTCCGATTATGTTAAATAAATATTGTTTCACTCACTATTCTTAATAAATAAATTCTCTCACCTCACTTTATTCCCATCTCAATTGTTAACACTATACCAATAATTATCTTTTCAATATTATCTTGA